AAACTCAATTCAATATCATTCGTGTAAATTGTTACAACACAAAGTAGATAAAAACGTTTAAGGTTTCACTTTCACTGATCGTGAACTTTAAGATGAAGTGAATAATTTGTTTAGCAAACAGAACGTTGTGTGATTACCGTACGATTACGTTTGTGAACTAAAATGGTTGATGACTCAGGATTATTTTGTTCTTACAAACCTAACTAACGTTATGTGTTATGTCATTTGATGTATTCTCGAAGATATATTCAACAGGAATCACTATACGTAATGTTTAGAAAAAAATTTGTTGTTAATTATACTTTTCTACATTATCGACGACCTTTATTACAGAATATTACCCACCAATAGGAACTTAATTGTTTGTGGTATTAATGCATTGAAATAATATAAAAAAAAAACATGTATTTACAGGTTTCTACTATAATCGACGTTAGTATGCAACGAGATGGAGCTGCATATTTTCCCTTGACGTATGAATAAACTGCATACGAATGTACTTTTTACATATATATATATATACATATGTATACTATATACAAAGACTTCTTTTGTATGGTTGGTACGTAATATGAAACTTAAGATCAGCGAACCTTGATAAATACTTGCTTCATAAACTCGTCATTTTTCAAATGCACGAATTACTTGAATCAATTTTTTACATTTTTATATTATTTTTATAATTAAAAACAAATATATATTTATATACGTAAGTACAACTTATGCAAAAAATTATGTAAAAATACGTACATATAGGGAAATTAATTTTTGATGTATTTATGAAGTAATCAAATGAAAAATTTGATTTATCGTTTGTGAAGAATACAAAACAATTTGTTATCGAGTTACTAAGTTTCTCATTAAAACACCTACACATATGAAATAAACTATAGATTCTAGTTCACCTTGAAATTATATTATACATCTGATATGTTGTAAAAGTGTATACACTTTCGGAAAACTGACACTAGAAACAAACAGACGTGTTGAATTACAATCTACGAAAAGATCGCATAACGAGTCTTGCATTTTCAACTATGTGATTACGTTATTTAAGTTAGTATGATTCTAATAGTATGTTTATTTCATTTCTATGAAATAAATAGAAGAGTAGAGAAAGTTTCGTATTAAATTAAATAAAAAGAAAGGAACTCAGGACAAAAGTTTCCATTAAATAAAAAATATTTTTAAAAATAGTACTACGTAATAAAATAATAAAATAAAATAGAACACTAAAAAAAAAAAATAGAATTACCATTTAAAATAATAATAAACAAAAAATGCATATGCATACGTGTAATAATATTATGTTTACGTGTATAATATTAATATAATAATTAATGTATGTGTGTGATATTAAATTTGTATTGTATATATACAAATATCAAAATAATTCATCGTCAATGTTTAATCATTTTTTTAATCATTGATAATTGAAATAAAAAAAATATATATTAATATAATAATTAATCTGTGTTGTGTGTGTGTGTGTGATATTAAATTTGTAATGTATATATGCAAATATCAAAATAATTCATCGTCAATGTTCAATCATTTTTGTAAACATTGATAATTGAAATTAAAAAACATTTTTAACCAGACTTATGTGATAGTCATCGAATATCAAGGAAGAAGATTCTAATAAAAAAAAAAAAATATTTTTAAAAGTCAAGTAAAAAAAAAAAAAAAATTGAACTCACCTACGCATAGAAAAAAGAAGAAAAAAAAATTCGCGTACGAAGACAAATATCTTCTTCACAATGTTTCACGGTTTTGTCTGAGAAGGCGTGTGTGTTTGTATTATATATATATAGTATTATTACGTGAGTTAGATTAACATGAACGAATTGCGTCGTCGTTTAATAAAAGATTTATTCAATAGTACGATTCTCTAATAAATAGAATAGAATAGTTAATATGGTCGTTAGAATTTTACACGTGGGTGAACGAGACCTTGCAAGTAAAATTCCATAATGCAGATTTGTCCTATGAATTATTATATATATATATATACTTTTTTTTTTCTAAATGAACTAACTCAACGTTAAATTTTGATCATGATACGAATATATAGTTATATAATTTTATATATTTAATATATATTATGTATTATATAAGTAATAATTTATAATAAATTAATTAATTAATAAATGATATAAAATGATACACAAAGTTTTGATAATGATTATACTATTATTATTATATTATTTTAATATAATTTAATTATTTAATTTAATTAAATAAATTAATAAATAAAATTTATATATTATA